CCTTTTTTCCTTTTCCATTATACTTGTCATAATTTGCTCTTTATTTCATGTATAAATATCTCTTCTAATATAATTAAAACTTCAAGAATTTAAATAGGTATATATATTTCTGAGTGGAAAAAATGAACCCATCTCGTAGAGTCATATATGTCAGTATACATTCTCTAATTACATTTGACTTCTTAAGGTAAGCCACATGCCATGACGCTAGTTTATCTAGAATTTACATGACTTTCAGAGAGTTTACATGAAATTCAATTTCTTATAATCTAAAATGTTTAATCCCTTAAATAAAAATAATTGTCAAATAGAGACGAAAGAAACATTTACCTTAAAAAATCCAGTGAATTAAACAATATTGGTATCACTTCGTTACACCTAAACTACTGAATCAAATCCAAAATGCAAAAACAACCATATGTTGATCTGAACATGAGTTGTGATCATTGTCGCTTAAGTGGCCGCTATATTGAAGATAGGATCTATATAGGAGTTTAAAAAAAAGAAAAATTAGAATCCAGGAAACAACCTCACCTTAATTATCTCGGATGTTTGATTCGTCAATATGTTGGGCAAAGAAAGCTGCACTCCATGAATGGACGTGTCTTCTTTGAATTTTGTCAATACAATGATAAGTTGCCCTGCACCACAATCCTCAAGCAATTCAGCTAAAACATATTTTATACCAGTTTCTTTACAAGCTTTGATCGTGTTCTGTATAAAAATTTGTGAATCTCCTTGTTGGACAAACAAAACAACCGCAAGACTAGGGATTATGTTAGTACGTATAGTGCTTTTCATCTTCGACACTTCATTGGAATGACACATAAATATATGAAGAAATTCGCTGGAATGTAACGTTTTTTACTATTAATTAAAATACTGATATATATATATATATATATATATATATATATATATTTTCTGTATTGAATCTACCATCTATTACCACAATTTTGTTGAACCTAAAAAAAACATGATATAATAAGGAATCCAAATTTCAGGAGACTTTGAGATTCAAACAAAGGGAGAAAACACTAAAATTGAGATACTCCATCTACTGATAACTCTTTTTCGGCATGATGGCTTACATCAACCATGTCACTCAAGACTTCATCCTCATCTAGAACATTAGTTATTCCATCCAAAACTGTCACTGGGTTTGAGAAGTAAAAAGAAGTTTCGTCAATGCTCTCTAAAAGCTGTCTCTGCACCCTTCACACGTAGAGTGGCCTCAAGCTCAAATATCCCAGCTCTTTAGCCACATATCATATATCTGTAACATCTTCTTTGGTGAGATAATCGCGAAAATATTAATTGTGGGGGAGTAGCTTGCCAATAAAAACCAAATGAGCGATTTTAAATAAAACATCTTAGAGCATTAGCATCGGTGATCTCTAATAAAGTATCTTATTATTAAAATAAATAAAAATTAGAAAAAAGAGGAGAGAGGGAGAGAAACGTCTCTCTTTGAGAGATTTTAGAAAAAACATAAAAGACTCTTCTCACACATATCTTTTTATGATTGGTTTAAAACTTTTGCTATTTAAAATTTAATTATAAACTTTAATTATATCAATATTATTATTATTATTATTATTATTATATTATTATTATTATTATTATTATTATGATATACTTTTGACAATATCTAGAACGATGGAGCTGCTCTTAGTATAAATAGATGAATATGTGTCTTGTGGAAACTCCATAAACTATTTATCAAGAAAAAAGCTTTTTAAAATTTAGAAAGAAATATATAAGTAAGAAAAATTGCTAGTTTTTGGTAGAATAATCTAGACCTTTTGCGAACACATTACATCGGTCGTGCTTCCTCATGTTAGGATCAAACACTAAAAACATAACCATCATCAGTTTCTTTACAAGCTTTGATCGTGTTCTGAATAAAAATTTGTAAATCTCCTTGTTCGACAAACAAAACAACCGCAAGACTAGGGATGTTGTCAGTACGTATAGTGTTTTTCATCTTCCATACTTCACTAATAATTTTTTTTTCTTTTTTTTGGCAATAAATCTACCATCTATTACCATAATTGTGTTCAACCTCAAAAAGAACATAATATAGAGGGCAAAATCACCAAGGCTGGCCTCAGGTTTTTTCTCAAAAACATCACCAATGGAGACTCGAAACTGAGAGAGAGTTAATATTTCCTGCAAAGGTTTTGCCACTGGACTATTGAGACTTTTCAAAAGTGTGCCCTCATTTTTTATTTATAATTTGTGGCCTCAAGCATAAGGCTTTAGTTGCCTTATGGACGGGCCGAACCTAGTTGGCATGTTTCTCGGATTGCCAAGAACTCATTCTTCTTCTCAATTCTGACGGTCATGCGAATGAGCTAGATGGTATCTTACCTGATATCACTTTGCTTAGAAGTAGTTTTATTTTGATTTCCTTTCACTTTGTACCGCGCTCGGAGAATGCTCAAGTTGATGCTTTAGCAAAGACTGCTCTCCGTTCTTTTAACATCTCCTCCCTTGCGGGAGTTTGAGTCTATCTTTATGAATGAAAGTTTGCCAAAAAAAAGAGGGCAGAGTAAGGAATCCAAATTGTAGGTGACTCACACAAAGGGAGGAAACACTGAAATTGAAACACTCCATTTACAAATAACTCTTGTTCGGCATGATGGCTTACATCAACCATGTCACAGAAGACTTCATCCTTATCTAGAATATTAGTTATTCCATCCAAAACTAGTCCTTGGGTTTGAGAAGCACAAAAAGGCTTCAATGTAGTTGAGAATTGGGGAAAGGTAAAAAAGAACTAACCCAGGTTCGATCCACGCTGGAAACAAAAACACATATGTGTAGAAAGTCTGGGCCAAAAGCCCAACCAAATTACGTGGTAGTCCAGTAACAGGCGATCTGGCTACCCCTGACATTAGTCGGAAAGCATTCCAAACTTGGGACAGACAATATGGTGGCCCTTCGAAGAGAAGTCCACTCTGAAGCACTTCGTTGCATTTCTACCGAAGCTGACCCGATCAGCCGATAGGATTTATCAAAAAAAAGAGAGGCTTCAATGCTCTCTAAAAGCTGTCTCTGCATCCTTCACACGTAGAGAGGCCTCAAGCTCAAATATCCCAGCTCTTTCGCCACATATCATAATATCTGTAACATTCTCTTTGGCGAGATAAACACAAACATATTAATTGTGGGGACTAGTTTGCCATTAAAAACCAAATGAGCGATTTTTAATAAAACATCTTAGAGCATTAGCATGGGTAGTATTTAATAGAGTATCTTATCATTAAAGTAAATAAAAAATAGAAACAAGAGGAGAAAGGGAGAGAAATCTCTTCTGGTTTGAGAGACTTTAGAAAAAACATAAAAGACTCTTCTCACACATATCTTTTTATGATTGTTTAAAAACTTTTTGTTATTTAAAATTTAATTTTAAACTTTAATTATATCAATAATATTAATATTATTATTATGAGATACTATTGACAATAAACATAAGTAATATAAAATTTTGTAGATTTATATTCCTACAAAGTCAAAAATTAAAATAAATCTCAAACATATTTTCTACAAAATTTTACAGTCACATACATTATATTTTCAAAATTATAAATGTGGAATTGAACTTCTTGTTGCGAAGGTTTCAAATTGATGTATTACTTCTCAAAATTTAACAGTAATATACCAACTTATATTGCATATTACTTTTGATTTCGCGGATTGATCTATATTTTTTAAAAATGAAAAATAATTTCAAAAATAATAATCTAAACGGATTTTTTTCAGAATATCCATAGAACATAAACAAATAACGCGTGGTTGATTGTGTAGTGTTTGACATGATCAATCCTTTTTTTATGGTGTTAGTTTTAAAAAAATATACATTGGTGAAAGAAAGAAAAAACAAGACGTGATTTATGTTAGAACCAAATAAAGAAAAAACCTCTCTGTCTTAAATGATTAAACTTCTTTCAGTTCTAAGGGAAAATTTACCAAAATACATAACATATATGAATGATTTATAGATAATTTCTCTTTATTTGATCAAATTACATAATTGAGAAAAAGTCAAAACTTAAAGACTATCTGAACTCTGAAGTAAAAATTAGAAAACAAAATGGTCATAATTTATACTTAACCGCATTTTTGGAATGTCGTATATAGTTTACAGTTAAAATATTGCTCATTTTTCAAAACAGAAACATTGTAAAATAATTTTCACCTCCCAAATTTAAATTCACAACCAGCAAAAAAGAAAAAAAAGTTGCGCTGTCCGAAAATTCACCTCGTCATAGAGGAAGTGTAAAACCCAAAGAAGCGACCACAAGGTATAATTATTGGTTGATGAAGCTCTTTCTGCGGAGATACTTGTAACAATTTTTACCATTTTTCACTGTATTGTAGAGATCCTAATAATACGGCCAAGATAAAAACAACGTGATTATGAGATCCACAATAGAATCTAAATTGGACGATCTATCTGACTAGAGAGATCTAGTATAGATTTCAACATAGCTAAATTTATTAACAAAATATGACAAAAAAAATCATGTGGAGGCCGTACATCTAGCAATAATTGGAAAAAAAAAACGGTCAGCAGAATTATAAATGTGCAGGTCTTAATTTCTGACGAATGTACAAGCAGTGGTCCTAGGGAATGAAATCATTTCGACAACGAAATTTCATTGACACACTCATTGGTAGGACACATATTCAATTACTTATGTCCGTTAAAAAAAAAAAGTTAAGTTAAAACAAAGATTATGTATATAAACAAAAAACCTCACCACAATACTCTGCCAAAAAATTGAACCAAAAAAGAGAAGAAAAACAAAGAGCATACCTAACTAGGGAAAACTAAAAAAACCCAAAAAAAAAAGAAAAAAAAAAAGAAAAATTAGAAACATAGAAAGAAGGTATAGAAAGATTTACAAAGTGGGTTATAAGCATGCAAAGAGAAGAGGGTCCCCTCCTCTCCTTTGGGGCAGATGATCATCAATTCCCACCACAATCACTCTCACTAAATTTCCTTTTCATTCTTTTCCCCAATTTGCATTGCAGCTGGAGATAAGTCTTAATTTACATCACCTCCTTTGAAACCAAACCATCAATTTTTCGATCGCTACCGGCGTTTGGCAAGTTATGTTTTCTTGATAGAAAACCTTAGCTTTCTCTCAACTGTCTAGTCTCTATAAGTTTTGATTAGATTTTCTTGACTTGCTCGTCTTGTTTCCAACACTTGTGTATGTCTTCAGCTATTCTCTTTGCATCCATTGATGCTCCAGAAATCCCACGTTTTGTGAATCCGACCGCGTATAGCCCACATTCCCCTCTCCATCCCTCTGGGAACTCTTGTATTGGAAACCCATCTTTCTTACTAAACATTTTATTCTCCTGAAAATTTTCCAAAACTTATTTAGTACAAAATATAAGAAAATAAGAATAAAGATTTTAATATTTGTTAAAGAAGGTGGACAAAGGTAAAATAACAATATTATCATTATTGACTACCTTTAGCCAAGAGGGTACGTTGCTTTTGTAGCCAGTTGCCAATATAATGGCGTCAAATCTCTCTGTTTTTCCGTTATCGAACTCAACTTCATGTCGTTTTAACCTTCTTATCCCGGAACACACCTTTTTACCATTAACAAAATCAACTATCACAATCAGTAAACTGTTTTTTAGCATGTATTCATATCATATATTCTTTGATTAGATTATACAGTACCTTAATGTCTCCGGTTTTGATTTTGGCTAGCGTGCCAACGTCGAGAACCGGAGTTTTACCGGAGATATTTTTGAGCTCAAGTGGGCCTAACCGGGGCCGGTTAAGACCTAACAGAGTGGTGTCCCCGAGGATGAACCGGGAAACAACCAAAAGGAAACGGTCAACGAGCCGGATGGGCAGCCATTTGAGTAAGAACATGGACAGCCCAAAAGTTGAAGTACCCAACATCTCTCGTGGTAGGACGTGCACCTTCACAAGTAAAAAAGAAAAGAAAAAGAAAACATAATTAGCAAATACTGCAGATATATATAGTAATTCGGATGAGAAAATCATATTATATTTATTAGTTTATTATGAAAAATATTAAGAGACTGTTTTTTTCTTTTCTTTTGTGAAGAATGTTTGCGCGTGCTCGTGACAATCCCAATAAAGTTGTTGTTCTCATAGTTTTTATTCTTTGAAAATCTTATAAAAATAATATTTCTGTATTAAAGAAATTAGGTAAACCTCTTTTTTCATATAAAAACTATATTAACAAATTGTTGGAACTTGAAGTCACAAGGGCCTAAAGACAGAATAAAATTTTAAATCAGGATAATACCAGCCTTTGTATATTCTCGTAAATTTATGAATTTTCTAAACATATTAAATAATAAGAATATCAAACTGAAAAAGCAAAAGAAATTATGATACTTATAAAAACATTACTGTAAATACACAAAATGGGAAAAAAAATTATTTCTCCGAAATTATCAGCCAATCAATAAAGAAACGATGGTTAAAAATCCAAATATTTTTAAAATATTAGTTTAGATTTAATTTGGTTTCCTTGAAGTGACAATGAAATCTAAAAACTAATTACTTATTATCGATAACAGTAAAAAAAGTCGTTAAGCTATGCATAGGAAACAATTTGTTCTTCAAAAATATGAGTGTTCATTGAATCAAGTAAGTTTTTCCATAATATTAAACCAGAAATTTTTTAAAAACTCATTTCACAAGAACATCTTATAAAGCGCTGTTAAAAAAAAAAAAACTTAACATCTTAAAACATATTCGTGTAACAGAATTTAGTACTATTAAAAGAATCTATTATATTGATATCGGATAATACTTACAGGAATACACACATAATCCTAGAAATTCTAAAAATCTAGAAAACAAAAAGCAAAATTTTGTAAAAAAGTAGGTAAAATCTTGAGTTAAGAATAGAAAAACAGTTAATATCAGAAGATCAACTTGAATGAAAAAGCTTTTCAAGATTTTGTTTTTTAGCAAAAGAAGAACTCCACAAAACATGAAGGAGCCAAAATATCGAAAACGCATGAGAAAAAGTTAATTTAATCTCCACAATACTTTCTTTTTTAAAAAAAAATCAAGAAAACAAAAAAAACTCACAGCGTCTCTGACAACGAGAGAAGGCTGAGCACCGAAGTTGCAGAGATCCAAACAAACCTCCATACCGGAGTTTCCACATCCGACGACAAGAACCTTTTTTCCGGCGAAATCTCCACCGGTCTTATAATGACACGTGTGCTTAACTACCCCGGCGGCTGCAAACTTATCCATCCCCTCAAACCTAGGCACCACCGGCTCCGCATTCTCCCCCGTCGCCGCTACTAACCACCGGCAAACATACTCCGTCGTACCTTCCTCTCCCACGCTCGTCACGCGCCACATCCCAAGGTTTTCATCAAACTCAGCCGACTCAACCGTCTGGTTAAACTCTGGCTTTATATCGAACCTCCTTGCGTAGTCCTCAAGGTACTCGATGAACTGTTGCTTCGTCGGGTAGGTAGGGAAATCGGCGGGGAAGGGTAAAATCGGAAGTTCACAGAATTGTTTAGGAAGGTGAAGATGAAGACGGTCATAAGTCTTGAGCTGCCATAGTGATGCTATACAGTTTGATCTCTCTAGTAGTACGGACGTGATACCTCTCTCTTTTAAACATGCGGCCGTGGCTAGTCCCGACGGTCCGGCGCCTACGATCACCGGACCGGTCACGACGCAGATACGACGCGGTGACGTCATGCCACGGTGGTCATGTGCTAGTTTACCTTCCATCTCTCTCTTCCAACAGAAATCCATCAAGAAAATAACTTCTTCTTGTTTCTCGCTCTTGGCTCTTTATATATAGAGAGGGACTTTGGTGTAATAAGTACGTATTGGTTAAGAGAATACGAGAAGGGTTTGTAGTATAGAAGTAGTGGTGGTGGTGGTGACACTAATTAAGAGCAAAGGACAGAGAGAACAATTTGACATTGATGGCATATATGAAGTGAAGTAAATGGTAAAAATCTTTTTTATTATAAAGGTATTTATAATGTTTTTTTTAAGAGAAATATTCTCTAAAGATCGGAATCAAAGAGGTTAGGGTTTGGATTGAATCTGCTGAAAAGGAGGGAGAGAAAGAGAGAGATCTTATCCAAATGAGAAGAATGAGTAAAGAGAGTGAGAGAGATAAGCGTTGTGTTTGTGTTTTGATGAGTGTAAACCGGAGGATGTGATCAGAGAACTACGGGTCTCTTTAAATCGCCATTCAAACTTATAGGAGAGAGAGATTGTTAGATGTGATGTGACTATCTCTCATGTGTGATTGATTATGTGTATTTATATAATTATGAGTCTGTATATATGTGTGCTTAAAAAATGGTTAAATAGAAGGTTTATATATTTAATGGAGTTCTCTTTTGAATTCCCACCTGTAAGATTTTGGTGTTCCACTAAACTTTTGACTCTTTCTTTACCTTATGGAAATCTCAAAGATTGATGTAAGTAATATTTTTATTGTATTATGATCAACCAATGGATACATATATAATATGATTTTAATAAACAAAGTAGATTAATTTTTATATTTTTTCTAGGTATGCATGTCAAGTGAGTAACTGAATAGCGAATTCCTTCAATATTATTAGAAAAGGTTTTTGTGAGGTATTTAGAAAATGCATTTACGAATCAAAAGATATATAAATCATCCAAACATTAAATTAAGTATCGTAAATAAAGGTACATAATTATAAAACGCTAAAAAGTAGTTTTAGCAAAAATTTGATGAATTTTTTTAATGGTAAAAAATAACCGACTGACATTTTCAAAAAGTGAAAACGTGAATAAGTTGTATACCATTCAAACCATCTTATTTATAAGTTTTTGTAACTCGTTTGATAGTGTAAATCATTCAAGCATAATGCTTTTTTGAAGAAACCGGTGCAATTGGTATCATAGAAAAGTAAATTATAAAATCTGTATTTTAAAAAATATATTAGTAACAGCATAATCTCTGTAATCTTTTATAAAACTAGAATCTTGATAGAAAACGCCATGAACCAATTAAAAATAGAAAAATACTTAGGTTCACCCTTTTTATTTCAGCAAATCAGAATCTGCCACCTAATATTAATAAAAAATTTTTATTTAATTATAAAATCTAATTTGCCATTAAAACGAAATGATGTATCGGTTTGAGTTTATTAAAAAGCGTTAGCGTTTAGATTTTATGATTAAAAAAGGTTAAATTTCGGTTTGAGTTTATAAACAGGTTTAGATTTTACAATTAAAAGAGGTCAAATGTCGGTTTGGATTTAGAAAGTACGATTAGTGTTTAGATTTTTTACGATTAAACAAGTTTAAATGGCGGTTTGGGTTTACAAAGGAGAATGAGAGTTTAGATTTTGTAATTAAACGAGATTATATATCGGTTTGGGTTTATAAAAGAGTGGTTAGGAATTAGATTTAATAATTAAATGAGTTTCATTTTTTTTATTATGTGGCGAATCTGATTAGTTAAAATAAAAAAAAGGTGAATAAAAGGTTTCACCACTAGTGGTGAACCCTAGTATTGCTCTAAAAAATATTGAAAAATGATGTTTAAACATGTTTTATTTTGATAAATAATTGCTTAAAATGACAACTGCAATAGTAATTCATGATTTGTTTTCCCAACAAAAGCATCAAATTTATTAATAATGTTTTTTACATCCATATCTAAGTCGAACATAGTTTTTTTAGTTTTTTTTTTAAATGAAAACAAATAATATATTTTACCACGAGCTTTGTGAGTTAGAAAATCTGCTTTGATATTAATTACAACCCCCCCATTTCATGCAAACTAACTCAAATAAAGGAAATTGGGACCTTATGTTTTTGAAATCAATCAACTTCAACCCAAAATCCGATAAGCTTTCCGATTTTGAAACCATGAGTACTAGTTCCATTGATTATGTTATCATATAGTGAGTGCAAGTGAATATGCCACACCAAACATAAGATCGTCCAACGAGAATGTAAAGCTCTAATTGTAGTGTCAAGTTTCTCTGACACCCTTTAATATCTAAGATATTTACTCTGTCTTCATGAAGTTGTAAGACCCATCATGTTTTGCTAGTGGCATTATATATCAGCAAACCACGAACCATAAAAATGCATTTTCTCTTAAACAAAAGTATGAATATGCCGTGAATAAGATTTTACATTCCTTAGGTGCAATCTCAACCTTATGTTGATGAGAGATTGATCCCGACCTTCAAAGAGTCGTCTCTCATTTTTGGCCTTTCAAATGAACCACACAATCTAAGGAAAGACCATCAACACTTGATTAGTTACATAGTTTTAGATCCTATGTAATATAACACATCAAAACTGTTTGTATAAATATCTGAAAGAACGTAGATGAGCAATTCTTCTTTAGCCAATGCAAATTACAGTAAGGCGGTTTGTAAACTGATCAAACATGAACTTAATGTTTGTTAAATTTTTTGTATTCAAATGAAGATTTAGAATTTATAGATTTTTTTGGTTTGAATGTTAATATTTTATACCAACCCCACCGGAAACGAAAGAGACATGACCAAATTTTTGTTTTCTTCAGAAAATAAATCATTACAACCAAAATACTAAATGTTTTAAATAACGTTAGTCTAATGTAATTTGAGTCTCACAACGGTTCCTAATGTTTTTCTAATTATTTATTTAATTTGTTATTGCATGTTTGAATTCTTGCGATTTTTCTGATCTCTAAATGCCTTTTAATCTATTGAATTCTTGTTATTTCTTTGCTTGATTTTGTTTATTTACTTTACACTTTTACTTAATTTTAGAAAACCTTTGGAAACTAATTTTTTGTCCTAGCTAATTTCAAATATGAATGATTTTTTAATATGAATTTTGGTTCTTGTGAATTTGATATTGTATTACCACTGTGCCACTGTATACTTCATTATACATTTAGAGTATAGTATTCGGATTAATACTCAGACTATCACATTTATAGATGAGCGTAAACCAATATTTAATACTTAATTTTAACAAAAAAATATATATTTAATACTTAAAATGTTAATCTCTACATTAGTTCGATTTTACACGTAAATGATAAAAGCAGATACCATTTTACAAATTGGATATTCATATGAAACAAAAACATGTTATAAAAAAAATTAACGTTTTCTACAATGTTTAAATCACATATTTAATACATATCTCAATTTTAGATAGTGATAGCTCATTGTACTTACTTAAACGTAGAGGTAAAACCATATGAAGTGTCGTGTCTCGCCAGCCACATAGATCGTACATTTGGCAACTTTGTACTTCATTTCATATGCTTTCTTTTTCCAAATGGTACCATTTTATATACATTCTTTTTGCCCCTCCTCAATAATCAATTTTATTGCTAAGCTTTTATTGGGTGTGTATGGACATTATTATAACATTTTCTTTTAGATTTATGTCAAGGGAGTCTTTGCTTTATTTTTCAAAAAGATGTCACAAAAAATAATAATAAACTTAAGGTGGTTGATGAGTGATTAATCATGAGTAACAGTATTAGAAATTTTGGCTTTAATTAGAAAATCTAGCACGACGTATGTGATTTTTCTTTATAATTTTTGCACGAACGATATATATGATTAATAATAATATAAATATCAAACTTATTGTAAGTATTTATATGAAAATTTGTTAGAATTACACAATGTATTAGTGTGTATATCACTTGAAAAGAGTAAGATATATAGGATTATATTATGAATATCTGGACCAATTTGATTGCCGAATTAAATCATCGCAAATTTTAGTGTACTTAATCTAATATATGCAGGTTGAAACAATCGAGTAATTGAATCTGACTTAAGACTAAAATAGAAAATAATAGAAATTCTTAAATAAAAACCATATATATTGGAATTTATATTTATGTATAGTATATCAAAATAAAGCCATACATACAAACTTTAGAAGGTATACCAAATTCGTTATATTGCATGCTGATCAATTGGTAAACTAAAATAGTTTAAAGGCATATATACCAAATTCGTTATATTGCATGTCGACTAATTGGTGAACGTAAACAATATAAAAGGATACCAAATTCGTACACAATGTTAACCTTCTTGGCATCACCTTTTGCTATTTAAATGGTTCTTCAATTTGGCTTTTGGTTATTTCGTCATTTCGGATGTCATGTCACCATGAGAGATAGAGAGACTTCATTGGATGTGGATATGAGTGGAGTAAAGATCCCAAGAAAGACAAAAATATAAATACCTAATCCTATTTGTTTAATTGACCACTTCGAGTGTTTAACGTAATTAATCAAATATCATCACCCAGTTGAATCTAGCAACCTACCCAACCATGTACCTTGTACATGTGTTTATTTAGATTTATAATTTTTCAAATAATTAAAATATTGTTTCAATAAGGGTTTTATGCAAAACAACCCTTTAAGTTAATTTCGTTTGCAAATTTACCTTCCAAATCCGAATTATGCAAATCAACCTCACAATCTCAAAAGTCACCCGCAATACTGTCCTCCCGTGTAGCGATGACGTGGCACTCGATAAATCTATTTGAAAACATAAGGGTTTTTTTTTGCAAAAAAACCTCCATATAATTTTTTTTTGCAAGACAAACCTCGATATCAAATAAATGCAGGTCAAACCACAATCTCAAAAATCACCTGCAATATAGCCCTTCGGTGTATCGATGACGTGACAATCAATTTACATAAAATTGAGTTATCGATTGTCACGTTATCGATACACGGAAGGGCTATATTGCAAGTGACTTTTGAGATTATGGTTTGACCTGCATTTATTTGACATG